TAAGTTTCTGCTACCAGAAAATTGTAACATAAACACAGATTTTACATTTTAACACGATAAGAAATAAGAAATCATTGGCTCTTTATTTGTTTATTCTAAAGATTTGCAATTTTACAAAACTGCATGAAAGGTACAAGTTAAAATCATGTATTTATGATTATGCGGTGTACCGCGGGTCAATCCCTAAACTTTAAAAATGATTCATAGTATAATATTTATACATGTATATATGTCACATATTGTTCTAAAATTAACAATCCAACTAAAATCATACAATTTAAATAATTTTGAACATATTCGAAACCAACACAAAAAGTACAATCTAAAAATGATAGAATTTAATTAATAATCAAAATAAAGTAAAGCAAACACAAATAAATTATTCCGCAACTTACAAACCCGGTAATTTTCCCCTGTGCTGTAGCGCGGGTCCGAATCTAGTTTTTGTGTATTATGCATGTAGGAGAGATATAGAGTAAATCATAATTAGTCGCATTAACTATTATTAATTAACTTATAAAAGAAATGTCAGTCTGCAAACAAAACAATAATATATTTTCTCAAAACAAGTACTGTGAATTGTTCAATTCGCACACTCTTTCAGTTTCTAAACTCTCTGACGACATTGTATTTGCCATTATCTGCACAGTTACTTACTGTTATTTTTTCAAGTTTTATATGTCATAAGAGTATTGCATTACTAATGTCTTGATGATGAAGTAACTAGCGACAGCCAGTTGTTAGGACATTCACAAACTTGTCCTGTTCTGCAATGTGTCTAAAGAAGATGGTGTGTTTTGGTCTGCTCTTACTTCTATTGCAGCCTCCCAAGTCTCACTTTCTTGATAACAACGAATCATTCTTGTAGCTTTCAGACCATCCATAACCAGCATGCTTCATTTTGCATAGAAAAGACACTAGAGGAAGAAAGGTAACGTCCTTGAAATTTTCCCCTTACCATGAGTACTAACTTGTAATGAGAGCGTTGAAACGCACGTATCAATGAGATGACTCAATTGCTTCATGCATCATTGACGGTAACACCATTATGCTGATCCTATTAGCATCCACAAGCATAATCTTGAGTTTTAAGAGATGGTTATCACAAACTTTGGTGTTTTGCTTGTCAACTGCCACAAGATTCATATTCCTGAAGAGAAATTTCTCATCTTTAAGATATTGATGAGCTGATTCAAAACTATGACCGACGAGCATGAGAGAGGTCAATAGCTAGAAAAAACATTCAGCTCAATGGGACTAGATATAGACCTGTCACTGCATCATCACTTTAAAGTCATAAAATGTTTGGGCCAATAAACAGGTCCAACTTAAACTGGAAATACCCATTAGCTGGTCATGGACAATATTGTTGGGCTACATGGTTGCAGTTAGGCAACAAATTTGTTCGTATTATGCAGTAATGCTGAACTGAACAGTAACCATATATAGTTTTCATAGTTTCATAGTAGCAACACCATTTCATTACAATTTTTTTTAATGCTTTATTTACTTTCAACATTCATATTAGCTTTTTCAACATTCATATTAGCTTTTTCAATTATAGAAAAAAATATATTTAAAACGACAAATTTTCACTGTCGTCATAAGTTTGTTGCTAATAGCGACAAATTTGTAAATATATTTCGTCACTAAGTTTTGCAATTAAGAACTATAATATAGCAACAAATTTCATTATTTTTTTCGTATATTATTTGTTTGTCCGTCGTCATTAATCTCTCGCTATTAATATGCTTATGTATGTTTTCTTATCTGAATACGTTTTATTAGGTAACATATTGATAAATATTAAGCTACATGGAAGGAACTATTACTTTTTATTTATTTGTGTTATGTTATGCTATTTAGTTATTTAACGTTTATCATATTATACGCCTAGTTTTGTTCCCCAAAAAAACAAAACTTTATTTCTTTTCTTTTTTTTCGGATAAATATAAAGATTGGGTGTGTGGATCGTCAACATCATACTAGAGATCAAAAGATTTCGAACTGATCTTTTCAATGTTCATTGAAGGGAACTCGAGTTCACTTTTGTCCCTTGTACTTCGTTTTTTTCTTAACTTTATATGTTCATTAAATATGCTTCGTGTTATGAACGAAAACCACTAGTTTTATTACAATTTTTTTCAGCATATAATTACGAATTATTGTAATTCGTCAAATATTTCTTAGTGATGCATCTAAGAACTTGTCATATACATACTTTAATAATTATATCAGGTGAATTCTAATTGGTAGAAAACCCTATGGTCGTTATTGCTCATATAGGATTTTTTCCATCGGCAAAGAAAGTATTTGTCGTCTTATCTTTATATTTTTTCGTATGGAAATGTTAATTAGTTAATATACAAATATACAATATGTATATGAAAGACTAAGAGTGATGTAGCCAGATATTTGGATAGCTTCCACATATTGTTTTAATTTAATTTTATTAGTTTTTCAAGTGTTTTAGGGTTTCTTAGGATTTTGATTAATCTACTATATATAAGGTTGTAATGAGAGATTTCTCTCTTTTATTAGAATGTTTTTGCTAAAAAAAACTGTAGAGAGTATTCAGAAATCTTAGTTTTTGGGAATTCTCAATATTAACAAATCTAAAATTGTTATCTCTTAAAATTCTGCTACATTAAAGAGAAATAAATTTCAACAGACACTAGTGTAGCATAAATTAGTCCTTATATTTTCATCTTTTATCTATGAATGATAAGAATTTAAGTTGGTACCTAAACAACAAATAAAAGAAGAACTCTTTGTTTACTATGGATATTTAAGAAAGAATGTGAGCTTATTTAGAATTGAATTACCAAATTATCTTCAAAATTCAAAAATAGATTTTACATTTTATACTAGTCTAAACTAGGTTTTGTGATTTACTAATTTTTATGGTTTCCTAAAAAATATTACGTAACTCCTTTTTTGTTTTTTTGTTTATATTATCTTTTTCAAGATTTTGAGAAAAAACTAATATATACAGCAAAAATCAAAAACTAATTATCTCAAAAACCAAAAACTAAAAGCTAAAACTCGTTTAAAAACTACAAAACATTCATAATATGCGTCTAACATATCAAACGGTGGGAGGGATATTTTGTTTTAAATGATGCCATCCGCGTTGTCGACATATGTGATCGATGTCACATTTTCGATTTTCCAAGACAGTAATTACATCAAAATTAACTAGCGCAATGACAAAATTTTGGTCAAGTTTAGATGGAAACTAACAAAAGAGTTACACTAGTTGCATGGAAAAACTAATTATGCCAAAAAATATATATATAAAAGGGAGTAAATTCTAGATAATTTAACAGTTTTTCTAACAAATAATTTTTGTCCGATCCGCTTATAAACAACCTAAGTCATCGTTTTCATGGCTGTAAAGAAGTGGATAATTTCATAAATATAAATCGATAAAGCTTATATATAAGAAAATATTCACCATATAAATGGATAAGATCAACATATATACAACATCAATAGAAAAATAAGTTTTAGATATTAGAGATAGTTTCCCAAAATCGACGAGAAGTAAATGACATAATTCACGACCAAAATTGATGGTATATGACCCAATAACAAACATCTGACAATTACTAATATTACGAGAATTTGCAGATTTTAGAGAAAATATATATTATCATCTAGCGATCCCAATAATTTGAGTTAAAGAGCACACAAGTTTAGATGGAATTCTACTCTCGTTCGTTGGCGTGCAACAAAAAAAAAAGATATATATAGATGACATTTTATAGTTTAACTAATTCATTAACTTCCTAAATAGTGAAAGGACTAGATCATATATTAAACATGGAAATATTATTAAACTAAACCATATATGTATATGCAAACTCTAGGTAAGATAGATATTTAGATCTTACTATAAAAGGAAATTTCTAATATTTTTTTTATTATGTGTAATGAATACATAGTAGTGCAATAGATTATAATTATTAGAATTTCTAATATGTATAAAAACATACTGGTTAGATAAAAATTGATTTTAGATAATTTCATTTTATGAGAGAAATCTATCTCTAAGTTAGACGTATAGAACTTCATTTCATTTTACTTTGCCGGGGCTATTGTGTATTTGAAACGCACATGACCTCATATAATTGAACCAAACGATTCTTTTGGGGAAACAAACTGCAATTAATTAATTTTCAAAAAAAAAAAAAAAAATTGCAATTAATTACGATCACGTTCAAGATGACCCAAGAGTTTGGTCATAAATTTTGAGTTTTATTGTACTTTGCGATATTGACATAAAGTTCCAAATACGTGACGCTGGACTGTGTCCCTAGCTAGCTGATATCTTCAATTAAGTGTAATCTGTATCTAGTCGCACCTCAGCACGTTATATACAATTTTTACATAATTATTCGTATAAGACCCCAAATAATATACTTCAAATTGCAATTAAAGAAGCATTATCATGTACGTATGCATATAATTTTATTATCCCAACTTTTTTTCTCTTTTTTTTTGTCAGCAAAAAACAATTGTACCCTTCTCGCATTAATTAGAACAGACACACAATAAGAGGGACCGAGAGATAGAAATAAGAATACATATTTTTCATGTTCTTATTTTATTTTTTTGCTACGTACGTTACTGTAATACTGTGTATATATGTAGTACCAGTACCTCATATAATAGATAACGCACCATTTAATTATTTGAACATTTACCTCAAAAAGCAAAGTACTCTCTATCTCTACTTCATTCCAACTCTATGCGTATGTATCTTAGTGTATGGACCGATAAGCAAAATTATATGTATAGCTAGGTAGACACATGGGCTACAGTCTTATGTAAATATTACAATTATTCATCAAAAGCAAAGTACTTCCCCACCTTTTTATTACATATACATAATTAATACATTATATTATATCATTTTAAAACCTCAAAAGGAAATGTTCGGCTATATATATAGCTAGCCAAAGAAGAAGCAAGAGAGAATCAAAGTCGTGAGTGAGTTCAGAAGCTAGCTAAAACATAAAGAAATAATGGAGAGTTTGATGGTAGAGATAGCCAAGACAATTTGGTGGATACTAGTTATTGGAGTGTTAGGTTTAGGGATTAGGGTGTACGGCAAAGTGATGGCGGAGCAATGGAGGGTGCGGAGGAAGCTGACGATGCAAGGAGTGAAAGGTCCTCCGCCGTCGCTTTTTGGTGGAAACGTGCCGGAGATGCAAAAGATCCAATCACAAACTAAACACTACTCTGGCGATAATATCATTGCCCATGACTACACTTCTTCTCTCTTTCCTTATCTCGACCATTGGCGAAAACAATACGGTATGCTCTCTCGCTCTAGTCTCATAGTTTCAACAATTTTTAATAACTCCAAAATCTACATATACATGATTATTGGATTAGTCCGGTTTAATTTGGTCGGTTTTTGGGACGGATGATAGAAGATAAAACAAACTCATATATCTCTTCACAAAATCTTGTAGATCTTGTAAATAGATAGTGACTGAATCTTGAAAGGACCACAATGTTACATACATGCATACGTGAATCATATGTGCATCAGTGCATAGTGATTGACTCATTGACAGCTAATCAAGGCCTGATATAATATATGTGTGTATTACGTATATGTAACGTATGCATGGCTTGACATGACAACCAACCCCGCAGAATTATATAAAATAAAAAAACATATATCGAACGCTGTCTTTTCGATTTGTTTATCATTAAAGCCAGTAAGGTTTTGTACGATCGGGTCTACTATAAAAAAAAGTTAGCAGTTCTATTATATGATTCGTTCTCAATGATTCATTTTGATTCTCCTTTTTTCTAGTAATAATCGTAAAATATGTTTTAGATATTGATTTTTTTAATACCAAAGTAGTTGTCGCTTCGCTAGCACTCGTGGATTGGTAATAGTATATCATCATTTGTGTTCTTTTTTTCTGTAGTTGGTATCAATGTTAAATCATGAGTTATGTTTTGATTAAGAGGAACTAAATTTTGATTCTTATCATCATCACCGCTTCCTAAGTTTGGTTTTGGAGCATTTATTTCTATGAGTAATTTTAATTGGAATTGAAAAAAAATGATGTGTTAGGGAGGGTGTACACGTACTCGACGGGGGTGAAGCAACACTTGTACATGAACCACCCAGAGTTGGTGAAAGAACTTAACCAAGCCAACACTCTAAACCTTGGGAAAGTCTCTTACGTCACGAAACGCCTTAAATCCATACTTGGTCGTGGTGTCATCACCTCTAATGGGCCTCATTGGGCCCATCAACGACGTATCATCGCCCCTGAGTTCTTCCTCGACAAAGTCAAGGTGATGGTGGGATTGGTGGTGGAGTCGGCGATGCCAATGCTCAGCAAATGGGAAGAGCAGGTGAAAAGAGGAGAAGGTGAAACTGCGTGTGACGTGAGAGTGGACGAAGACCTAAGAGCTGTCTCTGCTGACGTTATCTCTAGAGCTTGCTTTGGGAGCTCTTTTGCCAAAGGCAAAGAGATCTTCTCAAAGCTTAGATGTCTTCAAAAGGCCATCACTCACAATAACATCCTCTTCAGTCTCAATGGCTTCACGTAAGTGTATTCAAAAACCATTTAATTTCCCTCTATATGTATATATTGTAGTTAAATGTCATGTTGATGAATATTATGTTTTGCAAGTGATGTTTTGTTCGGGACTAAGAAGCATGGGAACGGGAAGATTGAAGAGTTGGAGAAGCATGTTGAGTCTTTAATATGGGAAACTGTTAAAGAGAGGGAAAGAGAATGTGTGGGAGATAACAAGAAGGATCTAATGCAGTTGATACTAGAAGGGGCTATGAGTAGTTGTGACGGTAGCTTGGAGGACAAGACACAATCTTACAAAAATTTCGTGGTGGACAACTGCAAGAGCATCTACTTTGCCGGCCATGAGACCAGCGCAGTTGCTGTCTCTTGGTGTCTTATGCTCCTCGCTCTCAACCCTTCTTGGCAAACTCGGATCCGCGATGAAGTCTTTCGTTTCTGCAAGAATGGTATTCCTGACGCAGACTCTCTTTCCAACCTCAAAACGGTAATTTACTACCTTGCATCTCACGACAAGTTTCTTGACCTCCAAGTCTGACCATTTAACATCACTTGCACATATAGGTGACAATGGTTATCCAAGAAACCTTAAGGTTATACCCACCAGCAGCATTTGTGTCAAGAGAAGCCCTTGCAGATACAAAACTCGGAAGCCTCGTGGTGCCAAAGGGAGTGTGCATCTGGACATTGATCCCTACATTGCACAGAGACCCTGAGATATGGGGAGCTGACGCGAATGAGTTCAAGCCAGAGAGATTTAGCGAAGGAGTCTCTAAAGCATGCAAACACCCTCAGTCCTTTGTTCCGTTTGGCTTAGGGACAAGGTTGTGTTTAGGGAAAAACTTTGGTATGATGGAGCTTAAGGTTCTTGTGTCACTTATTGTGTCAAGGTTTAGTTTCACTCTCTCTCCCACATATCAACACTCTCCAGTGTTTAGAATGCTTGTAGAGCCTCAACATGGTGTTGTCATTAGAGTTCTAAGACAATAATTAATATCTTATAGCTTATGATTTTAGTTTTTTTTTTACTCCTATGTAATATCTTATTACACTATAGTCTATAGTAATAGTGTTTTTACGTAATTATATTAAATTTTAAATGTGTTTAGAGTGAACAATATATGGATTTGCTAAATTTCTAATTGGTTGGTGAATGTTTGAAATAATATTATATAGCTTTGTTTGGGTCGTGTTAAGTATTCAAATATAGGCCCAATAACATTCAACAGCAGAAAGTATTTGAGCTTTTCGAGCTTTGGACCGGGCGTCTCGAAATTGCACACTGTGTATTATTCTTAATGTTTTGACAAAATAATAAATATCTGAAATTTTACTATTTCATTTTGTCTGTAATAAATTTATTTTTTTTGCTTGTCTGTAATAATTTAATTCAATAAAAATAAATTTTTGGACTTATGTATTCAAAAAAGGAATCTGTTTGACTATATATATATATATATCTATGAGTCAAGAAGATAAGATTAAAGCAAATATAATCAAAAGTGAAAAAGGTTAAAATGGAGATGAGTTTGGTGGATGTTCATCATACGACAAATGATGCAATATGGTGCATAGTTATTGTCGGAATCGTAAGCGTGTGTTACCATGTGTATGGCAAAGAGGTGGTGGAGCTGTGGAGGATGCGGAGGAGTCTAAAGACGCAAGGCGTGGATGGTCCTCCACCGTCGTTATTTAACGGCAATGTCTCGGAGATGCAACGGATCCAGTCGGAGGCTAAACACTGTTCCGGCGATAACATCATTTCTCATGACTACTCTTCTTCTCTCTTTCCTCATTTCGCTCACTGGCGAAAACAATACGGTTTGTTCTATTTTTCTCGAATCTCTCGTAACTTTGTTTAGTGAAAGGTAATTGAAACATTTTTTTTTTTTTTGTAACATTGTCACATGCAAATAATTTAACGATTGAAGAAGAAAAATACAGTATAATTAAGTTATTTAACGAATCTATTCCTCACATGTTTCAATTTAATTTTTCTTAGTAGTAAGGTTCTTTCTAGACATTGAACGTTTCAATTACATACACAAAAAGACAGCTTTGTGTACGTTTTTTTTTTTTTTTTTCATTTAACGTTACATGAAGAATAAATCCATTACCAGATAGATATATCACATAAAAGACAACAAATAGATCCAAAATAAACTTTGCAATATTAAGGCAACATATAAAAATAAATTAGAGAAATATCTTCCACGTAGATATTTACCTTTATTTAATTTCATACATTTAAAAAAAGATTGTGAATGATGATTGTGATTTGGATTGTGATTGAACTAGCTATAAGTTTAATATTGGTTTGTTTGATTTATTACTCAATAACTATTTTGTTTTTTTTCTTAATACAAAAAATGCTAATGAAGGGAGAGTCTACACATACTCGACTGGATTAAAGCAGCACCTTTACATAAACCATCCGGAAATGGTGAAGGAGCTTAGCCAAACCAACACACTTAACCTTGGAAGAATCACTCACATCACCAAACGCCTTAACCCCATTCTTGGCAATGGCATCATCACCTCTAATGGGCCTCATTGGGCTCATCAACGTCGTATCATTGCCCATGAGTTTACCCATGACAAAATCAAGGTCCTAGTCTTATCTCTTTTAGTTAACACCTAATAGCCGGATTAATTGGTAATAATTTTGGTTCAATGGAAATATGAAGGGAATGGTTGGTTTGATGGTGGAATCTGCCATGCCAATGTTGAACAAATGGGAAGATATGGTGAAAAGAGGAGGTGAACTAGGGTGTGACATAAGAGTGGACGAAGACCTTAAAGATGTATCGGCTGATGTCATCGCTAGGGCTTGCTTTGGGAGCTCTTTTTCAAAAGGCAAAGCAATATTCTCTATGATTAGGGATCTTTTAACGGCCATTACTAAACAGAGCGTCCTCTTCAGATTCAATGGCCTCGCGTAAGTCTCACTATCTTTTTACTCAGTCCATTCAAAACTATTTGTTTATATAATGTAATTGAGTGTATGGTGTCAAGTGATATGGTGTTTGGGAGTAAGAGGAAGCAAGGTGATGTGAACATTGATGCGCTTGAGATGGAACTGGAATCTTCGATATGGGAAACCGTGAAGGAGAGGGAAACTGAATGTGAGGAACCTCACAAGAAGGATCTAATGCAGTTGATACTCGAGGGAGCTATGCGTAGCTGCGATGGTAACTTGTGGGACAAGTCAGCCTATAGACGTTTTGTTGTGGACAATTGCAAAAGCATCTACTTCGCTGGACATGACTCAACCGCGGTGTCTGTGTCCTGGTGCCTTATGCTCCTCGCTCTCAATCCTAGTTGGCAGATTCGAATTCGTGATGAAATCTTGAGTTCTTGCAAGAATGGCATCCCCGACGCAGAATCCATTCACAACCTTAAAACGGTAATAATCTCTTAATTAAATACACTATAAGAATAAGTTGTGACATAATAATATACTATGTATAAGATATGTAACAACATTTTCTTGTATACATAAATACAAACTAGGTGACAATGGTAATACAAGAAACAATGAGACTATACCCACCAGCACCAATCGTGGGAAGAGAAGCATCTACAAACATAAGACTCGGAGACCTTGTGGTACCAAAAGGAGTGTGCATTTGGACACTCATTCCAGCTTTACACCGAGACCCCGAGATCTGGGGACCAGACGCAAACGACTTCAAGCCAGAGAGGTTCAGTGAAGGGATATCTAAAGCATGCAAATACCCTCAGTCATACATCCCATTTTGGCCTCGGACCAAGAATATGCTTAGGCAAAAACTTTGCAATGATGGAAGTCAAAGTCCTCGTTTCACTTATTGTCTCAAAGTTTAGTTTCACTCTGTCTCCGAGCTATCAACACTCTCCAAGCCATAAACTCCTTGTAGAGCCTCAACATGGTGTTGTCATTAGGATTGTTTGACTGTGAGAGAGATGTTGTGTTGTGTTGTGTTATGTATGCGATGCGTTGACTTTTATGATGGTTTCTTAATTTTGCTTTGTGTTTCCTATACAAACTACAAATTAAATTTAGCTTCATTAATTATATGATTTTTTACTTATAATTCTATCATCAAATTTCATTCAATCAATAATTATTCTTTCTTTACTTTTTTCCTTGTGGAACAAGTTACATCACTCTTTTTTCTCATAGACTAAAACCTTACCAAAGGTTTAGTGATTTTAATCCAATTTTGATATGAATAAATTGGAAATAAGACTAACTCGATTGAATAATAATGCCAAAAGTCTTTTTAAAAAGTTCGTTTTTTTTATTTACTGTGGGTAAATTAGTAAATAAGAAAAGTAGAAAGTGACTTTCTATTTTTCACTGTCAATAACAAACAAAAAATACAGTACAAGTCGTAACAAACAAGAGCATCTGCTCTCTTTTTGATTTCAAAGTGAAGAAGAAGACGAGAACCAAAGAGAGAGAGAGAAGAGAGTGAAACATTTCGAATATGGACGTGTTTACGGCGGAGAACCAACCCGGTGGTGGCGACGATCAAGCTTTTCCGGCGGAAGAAACTGATGACAAAGACGACGACGGAGTTGATTTGTGCCGGATTTGTCGATTGCCGGAGTTACCAGACAACCCCTTGAGGTATCCGTGTGCGTGTAGAGGCTCTATCAAGTATGTTCATCAGCAATGTCTCCTCCTCTGGCTCAATCGCCGCGGACACAAACACTGCGAGGTTTTTCTATATTTCTCTCTGCTTTTAGGCGGCTTCAGTGTTCGATATCTGTTACCTTTTGAGACGAATTAGGGTTTTAATGTTGATTTCGATTTTGGTTAAGAATCGTGTTCGTGGTGACTCTACCTCTCTGTATACGTCTTCGTCTGATGCAGGTGTGTGGGCGTAGCTACTCCTTTGTGCCTGTTTACTCGGAGAACGCACCAAAGAGGCTTCCATGGCATGAGCTTATGAGAGGACTGTTGCTTAGAGCATTACGAGTCGTTGGTTGGGTTTTAGTGATGCTATTCAACGTCTATTGCTATTCTTTGCATCCTAGTGGCCGACATGATGCTATTGAAAGCCAGAGGATTTTTGGGGTGTCTGATATGTTTGCTTCTATTTTGGCTGGCTGTGTCTACACCGGTATGATTGCGTATAGTTTCACAATTATGGCGCTTACAAGGTTTATTGTTGAACATTTCTTTGGGCGTCATCATCACGTAGTAAATGGCCGAGGACATGGAGTTGTTCCTCGAGTTGGCTTGGTTCTATGGAAATGGTTGCTCATTCTGTGTGACTGGTGGCATCTCCATCTCATAAAGATTCGGATCTTCCACACTCTTATGGCTGAACTTGATCCTGGTGAAGTTGTATTTCGTCTTGGAAACGCACAGTTTCATGAATTTGGAGCAGTCAGAAGTGTTCTGTTCTTTCTTGATGACAATGCATTTGCTGTGAGTCTCAACTCTCGTTTGTGAATCCGGATTTTAGAATGTTTTACTATGTGGAAAATGTTAACAATATTTGTTATTCCTTCTTTTAAACTCTCCAGGTTCTTGCCGTCAGCTTTTATACATCATTCTTCTTCCTTCTTCTTCCATTTTTCATGGGGAAACTTGTCTTTGCGCTCCTGCTTATTTTCCAACTTATGGAGTTAGCTATGCCGCTTCTTTCAGGATACTCACTTGGGCAAGAACCTGTCATTGTTGGATATATTACTATGCTCGCACTTGCCTTTGCTTATCTTGTAAGTGTTGCTCTGAGTCGAGACTCCATTCAAGCCATTGCCAAGAAATTATCATTGGGGTTGCTCTTCATTACATTGGCACCCCTATTCTTGCTGTGGATACTTTCAGTAAAAGTATGGAAAAATCTATCCGTGGTTAAGGATGGTTTCATCTTGTGTTTGAAACTTGGTGTTTTGCCTTTAGTACTTGGCTGCTGGTTAGATTTTTGCATGCTCCCTATATTCAGAACGCCAATTTCCCAGAGGCTTGAGACGCTTTCAAACTATCCCATACTCTTGATCTTGCATTGGTTGTTCGGACAAATCTGGTTGCTATTGGTTTTGAATTCCATGGTGCTTATCCAGAAGGTATACAATTTATTTTGTTTTACCAGCATGAGATTACCCTATTTTCATTGGACTTACTGCATATTTTCTTATTGACAGATCTTTAAGAAACGACTCTTTTGGTTTCTCTTAGACGTTACTGATCCCAACTACAAGAACACTAAAGTACACACTGGCCAATTTCTATTTGAGTTGGCTTTCCACGGGTCAATGATGGTGACTGTAGTTGACTTACCAATAATGACAATCTGTCTCATCAGCCCCTCATTTTTCCCACTCCAATTCTGGTAAGCTCCTCTGGCTTACCTTGTATCATTTGTAGTTTCAGGGTGTTTGATATTTTTCTAATCTAATAAACAGAACGCTTGAATATAATGCAGGATCTGTGACGAAAGGATTATGTTTGGCTCAATGGCTGCTTATGTGTTCTTAGTGAGACTGGGACCCTTCGAGTGGTTAGCCGAGCTTATTAAACCGGCTGTAGAACCCATATTTCGCAAGTGGGTTGTCACAGTCAGTTCTTGGCTTAAGCTGAGCGATTTCTTGCTTGAAAACCATGCAGATCAGAATGTGAGAGTACCATTGCAGAACGACCTTGGTGAATGGTTTCTAGTGCGTTCCATGGCTGAGGGCTCAGTAGTCAGTTTATATGGATCTCAGAGTGTTACCACTTTTGAAGAGGATATTGGCAACGCTAGGTAAGAGATATCTTTGAGTTTTGAATTAAAAACTTAATTCATGTATAAAAGTTGCAATTCTGATAAGTTAAAGTTGCAGGTTTATACTAAAGATCGGACTCATGTTGGCTCTAGCTACTTTGAGCATGTTTCTCATTAGCATCATCTCCATGGTTTTGCCACTTCTGATAGGAAGGCTGTTCTTCCACTCTATCTTTTTCATCATACCTTTTGGACTCAAATACGACGGTTTGTAACTTTCATCATCTTGCTTCATAACTCTTATTCTTATGGGTTCATTGCAAAGAAAGCTTCTAAATGAGAACATTTTTTTTTATCATTGTAGATCTTTATGGTTTCTGGATTGGATGTTATATCCTGCGAGCAACCTACATGGGAGCTTGCTTCGTATTTTATCATATCAAGATTGGAAGAACTGATTTGCTTCTCAACCTTGTTCTGTTGTCGATACGGAATGCTATACTGTTCTCCATCTGGGTAAGCAAACTCAAAACTTCAGGTCCTATTCCTCCAAATTAAGTGAAAAAAATGTCTGAAAGTTTTCTCTTTTGCTGCCGAAATGTCTGAATAACTTTGCAAAATCTAATGAACAGATCTCTGGCATACCAGCGATGCTCGGTCGCCTTATCCACCTTATGATCATCATCCCATTACAAGTGCCACTAAACGAATCACCACCGGTTTATTCATTTTTCCAAGAATGGTTGATGGGATTAGTCGTCCTTAACATCTGGACCTATCTGGTAAGAAACTCATCTTGATTGTCTTTCTAAAATAAATAAATAAAAACTTGCTTTCTTGGGCAACAAGTCATCTCACTCTCTCTCTTTCTTTCTCACAGACTATGTTCACGCGTATCACCTGTTTCGCAACAGTGGCTTGGCAGGAAAAGCTCGAGAGAATCAGAAATGCCCCAACCAACTCGCTTCCCTCTACGTGGCTGCTTCTAGATGTCTTTTATCCCCTCATGTTCACTCTTATAGCCACTCTCGTCTTTCCTTACTTGGTGGCCTACTCTCTATTCCCATGCCTTGGATTTTCCGGTGCAGTCAACTTAGCCGTGCAGAGGCTCATATGGCCGGTGCTATTAGCCATCATCATCCTATTGTTCGTAGCCAAGCTCACGCGTGATCTCTTCGTTTATATTCACCGAGTTGAATACAATGATCGGTATATGGTGGGAGACAGAGTAACCAATTTTACTGAAGATCTTGTCTCAGGTTAAAAACTCAGTTTGACTTTTAGTATTGCAAAAAGAACTTTTGCGAATTGTGTGAAACTTTATTGACTGGGATGTTATTAGGCTTTAATCTATAGTTTAATCTCGTCATTTCGTAGATTTTGACCTTTCAATCAAATCTCAATATATTGTTTCGTAATTCTTTATAACAGATAATAATAAATATGGAAGATGCCAAGAAACTTGGTTCTGAATGATTTGTTTAAAACAATGAGATTGTGAGTGGAAGCATGATAATTAACTTTTATATAAAGTTTAGCCAACCTAACCAATCCAATACACCTTCTTCTTTCTTTTTTCTCATGTTCATAACCAAAATTTTTAATAATTAAATAACATTTGATTCCTAAAACTAAAAAGTTCACATTTTAAAAAAAAAAAACAACAACAACAATGAAATTGGAAAAGGAAACGATAATAAGAGAGGGAGAGGTGTGTGATTCTCTGCCACCCAAAGAAGAGAAAATGTTTAAGATTTAATTAATTAAGTAAGAAACAAAACAAAACGAAACAAAATTAGATTCTATTTCTTCAGGCTTCAATCTCATTTCATTGGCCACCCTGCTTTGACCTTTTTTTTTTGTTTTAGTAATGATCACTAGTTTTAACTAATACTTTAACCACGTTTTTATTTTTCTGTTCGAGGTAACCTTTTAAATTAATTTATCATTTGTTAATCATCCTTTCTATTGCTCTATTCATTAATCATTTCTTAACTCTGAATTTCAAATATTAAAAATATAGAAAATTCATGAAGAGAATTTAATTGAAAACGATATTGTGCAAATATTTATGGAATTTACGACTTGAGTAAGATTTTTTTTTTTTTTTTGAAAACTAGTTTTTTTCTTTTAACTTTGACATCTATTTAAAAACCTTAATCACAAAAAAAAAAAACACTTTGACATCTAATTTTTTTCATTCTTTGTTTTTCTTGTTTACAAAAAAAAAGGAACTTTGAATATTCAAGGATGACAGGAAACTAGTAATGCTTCATATTGCAATTATACCATAAATAGGTCTAATTTTTTTGTAGGGTCATTGTTAAGTATAGATTTTGACATTTATAATTAAAAAAAAAAGATTCTATAACTTTTGATGTAAGCAAGAATTAATGTATATATTATCTGGACTTTTGAGGTAATTAAGAAAGTTGCAAGCAGTAAGATTTGTTATAAATGTCAAATATAACGTTATGGCAACAAAATGAAATTTTAACACAGTATCTATAGCTCCCATGGGAGTTGATATGATTATAGGTACTATATACAGTGTATAATGAAATTTCAATGATTTGTTTGCCATCTTATTAAGATCCATATATTCATAAAGGAATATTCTTTTCTTTTCTTTTCTATCTTTGTTGAGTTGTGACCCACTCACCCACTCTATAAATTGGTTTATGCATTTTAAATATCTTAAACCAAACCAAATCAGCTAAACCAAATATAAACCAAAATGATGTATAAAACGCTTGATTAAAATCATTAAAACAAAAATCTGAAAAACTATAATCAAATTCTAATAATTAATTTGAAATCCACTACAGAAAATTGTAACACTACTTTTAGATCAAAGGGAAATCAAATCTTCATATAATAAATCAATTCATTGATTTAAAAATATGGTTTTACAAATTTGACTGTTTCATCATGTTTTCCCTGATTCAATTTTACATTTGTAAATCACATCTTAATACTTTTTAATAAGATGACCAAATAGTTTTTTATAAAAAAATATTTAAATCTATATTAAGAGAACAGGATTGAAATTACCAAATAATACGTAAATCCAAATCATATATAGTTTTTTAAAGAGTGTAATAAAAAACAAAATTCAAATCCCGATATTTATAATTAAATAAATAAATAATCTTTAATCCTACATACAGTATATCTATATTTACTTACTTTTACACCACATGTAGTAGTTTTTAGCTTTGACTTTGTCAAAGTGGCTAAAGTTAAATCTATTCGTAAATCTAATATTTATTTATTTTTGGTAGTGTAAATCTAATATTTATTACTATACTCTAAAAGATACTTCTTTCCTTTTTGTTACAAATTTTTACTATTTTAGAAGTGAGAAGCAAAAACTAGAAGAAGCCTTAATTTTTTACAGTTGTTTAATTACCATAATCACGCATACTCATACATACACACATATACACATTTATTTTTTATTAAATCAATCTCCCAAAAGCCAAAGAGGATATATATATATTTTATCCAATTATCGTCCTTATCGTCTTCTTCCTCTTCCTTCAGAAATTTAATTTAATTTTTAAAGAAACCAAAAAAAAAAAACCTTATCCCTTCTCTCTCTCTCTCTTCCTCTTCTCTGCTATGGCGATTTCTACTATTCTCTGAAGTCTGTGATTTTTTTTTCTCTTGATGAGACAGAAACCTCAGAAAGTAACAAAAACCTGTTTATATTCCGACCAAATCTGTCTGATTATTTTGTGATCTGAAAAGAGAAAAAAGTACGGTTTTTTTTATTTATATATGGAGTTGATGGCTAAACCAACGTTCTCCATCGAAGTCTCTCAATACGGAACCGATCTACAGACGGCGGCGAGGGAGAAAGCTTCGTCTTCTTCATCCTCTTTCGAGACATCTAACGAAGACGGTGTTGAAGAATCTGGTCGTCTAAGCCGTCCCGGAAGTGGAATCTGGTCAGGACAAACGGCGGATTACTCATCGGATAGTTCATCGATCGGAACACCTGGTGATAGCGAGGAAGACGAAGAAAGCGAGAACGAGAACGATGACGTTTCTTCGTCTACGGAGCTAGGGCTTCGTGGGTTAGCTTCAATGAGCTCTCTTGAAGATTCTCTTCCCACAAAGTACAAAACTTTCATTCACTACTCTGTTTTTTCTTCTTAAAAATCGTTTTTTTTTTAGGGTTCTTGATTTGTGTGTGTTTTGTGTTGCTTGTAGGAGAGGGTTATCGAATCATTACAAAGGGAAATCAAAATCATTTGGGAATTTAGGAGAGATCGGGAGTAGTAGTGTTAAAGAAGTAGCTAAACAAGAGAATCCATTGAATAAAAGAAGAAGATTACAGATCTGTAATAAATTAGCAAGAAGATCGTTTTATTCTTGGCAAAACCCTAAATCTATGCCTCTGTTACCAGTAAACGAAGATGAGGACGATGATGATGATGATGATGATGAAGAAGATGATGAAGATCTGAAATCTGGGTTTGATGAGAATAAATCATCGAGTGATGATGAAGAAGGAGAAGGAGGTAGTAGAGTGAAGAAGGTTGTTGCTAGGAAAGGATCATTCAAGAACAGAGCTTACCAGTCTCGGAGTTGTTTTGCACTTTCAGATCTGATTGAGGAAGAAGATGATGATCTATAATTATTATTATTGCAATGTGGGAATTTTTTTTTTTTTTTCTATTGTTCATAACTTTTTTTTTTTTGTTCGTTCTAAAAAAATATAATTTTAATATTTTCGTCGAGCGAATTAATGTTTTTGTTTTTCGTTTAATTCATAAGGAAAATTAGTTTTTAATTAATTAATTTTTAAGTGTTTTTGTTCCTTTCTTTTAGCTTATCTGTTTGTTGTCCTTTTTCTATCTTCTCATTATCGGATTCTCTCTGTTATTTTTATTTATTTTTAATTTAAATGAAAGGTCAAGTCAATATTGTTTTGATAGTTTCTAGAAAAGTGAGCTTTATATGTGGAGGGAGCAATTATATCCCAAGTCTAAATATAGTGGCATGTAAATTAATTGATTTAGATGTGGGGGAAAAAATGAAAAAACAATATCATATATAATAATGTGGAAAGTTTAAGCATAAGTATTGATTTGGTAGATGATGGCTAATTTGGATGACATTAGCCAAAATGAAGTTGGTCACAACTACTTTTGTTAAATGATGCTATTTTCGATATACGGCCGGATTGAAATGTTGGTATAATAAAAAAAATTACGGAGTTACCGAGAAAAAATTCGATATCTATAGATATTTATAACAGATCTAATTAATTATAACTTGAAAATTAGAGAAACTAAAAAATAGCTTTTAGATATTGTTTTTTTTTAAAAAAAAACTAGCTATTAAGTATTATTATTTGTGATTTTACGCATAGAAAAATAAGCGTCGTCAGAAAAATGTGTAATATGTGGTGAATCTAATATGATCGAACAGAATTGTCGGTAGTACAAACGTTATTATAATAATTCTCATAATTTGTAATAAATAATAAATCAAGAGTTTTAAAAAAGTATTGTTATTTGTTGGAAAATATAAATTTATAATGTCATTTATGCTATTTTTAGAGTATCGCATTTATACTAAATCAATAGTAGAAAACTTCGATATATTAAATGAAAATTTTCATTTTTTCACTCAATTTTTATGAATTTATTATTTTCATTTAAATTGTGTGGATATGCCATTTTGTCTCTTTAAATATATGTGTTTAATAACTTTTCTTTTGCTCAAATACATACTCCATAACAAATATTAGACCTTAGAAAATAGAACCAAAAATCTCAAACTATATTTATGTTTTAAATATAAGAAATAGCAAATTAAAATGCAGAATTTAAGGTAAAATGGGGGGGGGGGGGGGGAATTGGAATATATTTTTTAGACTCTGAATTTGAATATTTTGTTTTATTTACCTATGTGAAAGAGTGGTCTCTAGGTGACTAGGTCCATGAAAAATGTTACCAAAACATGTTTCCATGACAAGAGAAAGTATTAAAAATAACAATCAGAAGTTGCAAAATTAGAAAGAGAAAAAAAAAACATTGGGAAAAATTTTGTTGTTGAGGAAACAAAACAAGACGTGTAGCCGAAGCCTCTTCAATTTTATTTTTTTTATTGTCACAACAGCGATTGCTCATTTTTGATAACTTGTCTTTATGACGAACACGTGTCATTCAATTTCACTAAATTTTTTTGTGTCGTGCCATTTGTGTTTTTGCTTTGTTACAATGAAAATGTCAAAGTTGATAGCAACTCTCATGTGCGAGCGAGCGTGCAGTGGGACTTAAAACTTTTTTTACATTGGTAAGGAACCAAACCACTTGTTGTTGTATCCTTCTATCTTCATTACTATGCCTTAAATCGATTTTGGTAAAATACAACAAATTAGTACATGAAATAAAGTTATATATATTAACAATACAATAAGGTTTTTTGTTTTCTTGTATATTTTTCTCTATATTTTTCAAGTGACTTCAACTTGGAGACAAATTTGGATTGTGAAGTAGTATTACTATAATTATGAGCCCACTCGGCAACTATATGATGACCTCTCTTCCACGTGGAATTATTCTGTACCACAACAAAATCTTATATTTATTTTGTATAGTTTTTAATTTTTATAATATCATTTGTATGAGTAGTTACAATATAAATAATAGACTTGAATTATCAATCAAATACTCTACAAGCAGTATAGTAAATAATCCTTTGGGAGTTAAGTCTTCAAGTCATAGACTCATAGCATATATACACATAGATCCAATCCATTCAAACATATGATTTAGGTGACTTTGCTCACTCGAAAAGCGCATACAATTCACGAGAGAGAAAACAAAACTATAACAATTAATGGAAAAATGATAATTAGTACAGAAAGAAGAATAATTAACATGGAGAAAAAAAAAAGCTAAACATGACACTGTTGTTGTTGTTGTTGTTGTCGTTGTTGTTGTTGTTGTTGTTGTGATATATAAAAATCACTTAGATGCAGCAGTTTCATAGTCGATGACGGTTTGAAAAGCTCCAGCAAGAGCCAAAACTTTGTTCTTCCTTGGGTTCTCTTGCATCTTGCTTGCTATTACATCGTTGTAAGCTGATGGAGACTCCTTCTTCCCTTTCACTACTTCCCTCTTCTTCTCTTCTTCTTTCACCTTCTCCTTCTCTTCTTCTTCTTTGGCCTCTTCTTTAACCTCTTCTTCCTTCTCTTCTTCTTTAACCTCTTCTTCCTTCTCTTCTTCTTTCACTTCAATTTCTTTTGTAGTCTCTTCGACGACATCTTCAGCTTCTTTGATGTCAATATCAACCTTCTCCGGAGTCTCAATCTCCTCAATCTTCTTATCTGGAGTCTCTTTCTCGTCTTCTTCCCCGTTTTCAACTTTGTTGTCTTGTTCTTTCGTTTCCTCTATGTTCTCTTCGACTTCGGTTTTATCATCATTGATCATTTTTTCTTCTAGTTCTTTGATGACAGCTGAGCAATCGTCTCCAACAGGAGTTGTTGGTCCACTGCTTTCGTTCTTCTCTTCATTGGATTCATCGGCTTGAACGACCTCTACTTGCACTTCTTTGTTTTCTTTTTCATCTTTTGGGTCTTCTATATCTTCAACAACTTGTACATGATCACTCTCGACCTTGAGAATCTCCTCTTGATGATCCTCCTCCTGAGCAGATGACAAAGAAGCAGAATCCAAGGTAATCTCTTTATCAGATGATTTCTTTACTTCCTTTTTGCTCTTCGAAGAACTGCTACTACTGCTCAAACTGCTCTTCTTTGAGGCCGGAAGAGGAGATTTCGTAGTAGTGCCTCCTCTTGGAACGTTTCTGCTTCCATGGAAAGAAGAAGAACGTAGAGCTGCGACAGGCTTCTCTCTAGGAACAGCTGGTCTATCTCGCGAGCGAGAAGGAGATACGTTGAGGGATTTTTGGATACGTGGAGAAGCAGAAGTACTAGAATGAGAAGTCGTCAAAGAAGAAGGAGGCCGATCAAATGATCTTCTACGGAGAAGCTTCTGGTTATCATCAAGACTATTGTTGTTCTTCTTCAAGAACTTGACTGGATCAGGTCTCGAGCTGATCGTTGGTTTCAAATAGTTTGGTACAGGCTTCTCCGGTTTCTGATCAGACGACCCATCTTCTGATGACACCGTCGACGAAGGTGCAGGCTTTGGCTTTCTCCCAAGAGATCTCGTTCTCGTTAGGTTTGCGTTATCAGCTTTTGCTTTCGTCGTGCTTGACGTCGTTGCCATTACCCTCAAGAAATCAAAGAGGCGAAAGAACAAGAAAGAGAAACGTGTATATCAAGGAAACAAATCTCTTTGGAAGAAAAAAATTAGGGTTTTCTATAAAACGAGATAACGATTACTACTTATGTGTTTGTAAAAACGGAGCTTAAATCTCGCAAATTCATGGGTGGTGGTGAATGGTGGTGGATGCCATCAATCTCCTTAACTAATTTACTAAAATCGAAAAAAACTAATTTAAACATTATAAAAAAAAAACGATTCCGGTCGTTATGGAGAAACCGTTGACTTTAGTTTGAGCCGTTTCTATTTATACAAAGAACAACAACTTATGTTTTGTTATGTTTTGTCTCTCGTTTTGGTTTTGGACCGTTTCAATGTAGTAGTAATAAGATAATTGTCCCCACGTCATTAGCAATTATAAAATAAAACATACATCACGTAATTGCGACTTAGGGGTTAAGCTAAATCACCAAATATAGGTGGTATTAAACTAAATTAAAAACAAATTATTATATGTAAAGAATTGAAGAACAATGGGCTTGTTCAACTCTAAATGGATCTCATTGTTTGAACGGCTCCACCAATACTTTCTTTCTACATGCCATCCACTCATCATCTACTTGCTCATTCACTCTCTCCTTTTCAATCATTTTTTTTTCTTTCTCGTCGACATGTATGTACCTTTTCAATCATACTAATTAAAGAAAATTATAATGTATAGGTGATTCATCTTTTTGGGTTTAATTGATGAAAATAACTAATTACTTTTAAGAAAACAACATCCTTAATTAGTAGAGAAATTATTAGTTTTTGGAATATGATCGTACGTAACAATTTCTATTACTCCTAATATTTACTGTGAGTTTGACCAATTAATGACTTCGTTCAAAGTTTTTTTTTCTTGTTGCGATTGACTTAATAGCTAAATATATATATAAAGACAAATACAAAAAAAAAAAGAGTTGTAGTTACTATAATAGTTTTTTTTTCTTTTTTTTTTTTTTTTTTTTTTTTTGTCGTCGAAAGGTTTAATTTGTGGTGTGAAGTGTGATGAGGTTCGTCTTATTTAGACACGAAAGAGACCAAGTGTGTCTGGCTTCTGTTGCCACGTTCCACTTCATCCCTTGTTCTTATGCTCTTTCAACTAAAATTTAGTAAAATACACTTGATATGAAAGCTAATGTGCAATGAGGTTAAAGCATCATTATTGGTGAGCTATTAGGTGTTTTTATCCTAAGAAAAGCAAAAAAAATGTTTCTTAATGAAAAAATGGGCCTAATTAAATTGAACATAATCGCTAAGACCAACTAAATTTCGGTGATAAAGTTAAAAAAACCAACTCAGCTAAAAACTTACACATTGATGGGTACAACCGTACAAGTACTACGTCAAAATACATAAGAATTCATGGTACTTGTACCCCCTCGATCTTGTCCAATCACCAATCATAACATTCTTGTAAAAGATTGTTGGAATTTGAGGTTATGTGTTAACCGCTCTAAATTAGTTAAACTAACTATGTGTATATGTGTAAAAAAAAAGCTCAATATTTTGTAGTGGTATGATGTGTTAATGTCACTATGGTGGAGACATTGGCATGACGCATGACACTGATTGGTAGGCATAATACTGAGTGAGAGGGATCCGATAACACAACAGAGATGTAGTTCATTCGATCCTTCATGCTTCCACGGGGCTAGCTATATGTTGCATAAACTCGTTAATTTGTAGTGATGATTTTCTCACGATGGATTAGTGAAGCTCATGCAATTTTTAGGAACGTGTACAAACTTGTTCACAGTCATTAGGAGTGAATTTGATATTTAGCTTGTACCATTAAACAACACCAGCTCTACTAGTGATACTAATTGGGTTGTTTTATATTTTTATGGACCAAAATTGAATGCAAAAATATTGCGAAAGATTTAGTATATAAATAATCGATGGAATAAATCATTTTTTTGTTGCTCGAAACGACGGAAGAAACCATTAAGCAACACCATGTATCTATATTTATTTTTCCAATTTCTTTCGTTTTCAAATCTTTTTCTTCTCTCTAAACTTTAATTTTGAACACCTTATACGTGGTACTCTAGTGGAGATGGTCTAATAAATTATTATTATTTTTATTTGTATCGGTCACATCATTAGATAGCAATATTTTCGCTTAATGGATATTTACCAAATTAATAGTTGATAAAAGAAATGTATATAATTTATGCGTGCGAAGTTAACAAACACTAGTTATTGTGTATACTTTCGAATCATAATTTTACCCCAAAAAGTAATTATTAATACATTTAACTAGTAGTGTGTATGATTTCATAAAAAATCCAAGAAAAAAGTTCTCTTCCATTATATGATTTAAATAAAATACAAAATAGCTAAAAGTGTATTCAAAGTAACATACGAATCTGATTTTATTTATCCACAAGAAAACATTCGAATATGAATATTAGATAATAACTAGATTGATAAGAGTTCGTGGGAAACATTTCTTCACATGCATGTTCAAATTATATTAATTTTGTATAAAAACATGACCCATAGAATTGTTCCTACGTATCTTTACAAAATCAAACTATAATGTTTTGTAGCGATCGAACGAAACCATAGCTTTATCTGTTAACCCTACCAACATTTTTATATATTAATCAAGTTTTTGTATGATTAACGTATACATATATGTTGCTTGCTTGCATGCTTCTTGTTAGGTACGAGACTACGAGAGAACAAGAGAATTATAATAAAACATATCCAAATATTATTATAAGATATATATGTAATGCAAATTACAAATGATGCAACAACAACAACACATACAGATATAGAAAGAGACGTATGACGTAGAAAAGCAGCTTTAGGATGATTCCAAAACTTTGTGTTTCTTCTTCAAGTTGACATTATTTTTGCAGATTAAGTATAATATATAACACGTAAGGCCTCTCTACACGTCTGGTCGTGTGATGCTGCGTCGTCCTCACGCTCTTCCTCCTTCTTAAGCTATACTGTGTGTGTTTCAGAACAATGGTGGGGCTCTTTACGTTCTGATTTTGGCTTTGACTTTGGGTCCATCTACGATTTAACCCTCTCCTCATCTTTCATCTTCCAATGAACAGAGCCGATGATTTTTTTTATAAAGAAAGATTCATTTTATATGAATAAACCAATGACTTTGATGTCTTCATGTTATTATATCATGGATGTGGGATCTTTATAATTAGTTTCTTCTCGTCACGTCGTCTTAATTTCCTTTAATATTATATAGTTTACATATTTAAGTTTTATATTAGTGTGGACTCAACATTAATATATAATTTGTCAATTTTTATGGTTGAAAATGATGTTTTTATAATTTTATCCAAAAGGAAAAAACAAACGTTTGTTTGTTCATATTAACACTCTTCTTATCATCTTTCTTCTTCGTATTTTTCGTACATCTAATTTATTTCTTAAACACACATTTTTTTTTTGGGATAATTCTTATTATTTAAACAAATATTATATGTAATAAAAAATTATCTTTCTTATTATTTTTCATACATACAATTTATATTTTATTTATTAGTCCTACATTTTTTTTCTTAATTTTCTGAATGTTTTCCCTTGAAAATAAAACTGTTATTCGATTTTATATATGATAAAAATCGTATTTTTCTTTATATCATTTTTTAACCGTTTATATGTTAAAGTCAAGACGTTTAGCGATGTTTTGAACATTAATATTAATCTTATGTTTCCTTAAACTCCCTTTTTAACTTTTTCACGTAAGAACAAAAAAAGAAATAGAAATTAAATTAAAAAAACATATCATTCCGTGTTTAACGAGATCCTAATCCAAAAACGGCGCCGTTTTATATAATCTCTCAAATCCCTCCGTAGTATATCTAAACCGTTCATCTCAGGCTTTCACACAACAAAACCCGAAACCAACGTCTCAGATCACTCCGGCTTCTGTTTCGCCTTTGCTACGCCACTTCTTCTTCTTCTTCTTCTTCTCCGATTTTAAAATTAAAACCCCCTCACGAAATTTATATAATTACTAATTTCAGAATATTACTTCTTCTTCTTCTTCTTCTTCTTCATCGCATCTCTCTCACTCCACGTTTCTTCCGTGAATAGATAGATAGCCGCCGGGTTAAGGTATCGCCGGAAATTTCATCTTTTTTTTCCCTCTCCGTCTTCTAGTTTCGTTGTTTCGCTACGGTAATTACAAAAAGGAGACGAAAAAAAAAACCCATAAATCATTTTATTTTTTCGATTCGTTAATCGAAGTTTGATGATTTTGCCTTTTGATTCAATTTTAAAGTTTTTTTTTTTTCCAATTCGTTGTTTAATTACGTAATTTCGATGAAAGTTTCAATTTAGTTTTTTTTTTGTCCTGTGGCTTGAGAACTAGTTCGTGTGGTTCTATCTAATATGATTTAAGATAGTTTATGAAATTTTATATCTTTGGTTTAGAATTTTTGTGTGGCTTTTGTTAATTCATGGAGAAGCTTGAATCACGGAGAAACTAGTCTTGTTTATGGAAAGTCCGTGTAAATCGATTTAATTTGTTGTTGTTTGTTTTGTGCTTTCTTGGATGGTTCGTCTTCTCTTTAAGTTTCTTCAACAAACACTTACTTTATCTTTTGAAGCCTGATGATGGTTATGGTTCATCAGGTTATATGTTCTTCTTCTTTCTCCTTTTTTATGTTCTGAAGTTTCTAAAGATTGAGTTTTGAATTGTGTAAAAGTTGATTATGATTAGGCTTTGATGACCCTTTTAAACTGATGCAATTCTAAGTTAATCTGAAATTGAAAGCTTTGTTTCTATTGCAGTGTTTTCTGTATGGATGGATTTAAGGGTAAGAGAACATCTAGACCGATTATGTCCGGGAAAGCAAGTGGTCTTGTTCTTCATGAGAATATGAATATGAAGAAGAAAGATGGTGATAAGAGTGTTGTCCCTATCTGCAGCCGGATTGGTTGCAGTTCCAGGATTAGTTCAACTAAGGGAGCTTTGATTGATCACAAAGCAAAGTCTATTGTGTCTTCGTTTCGATCTCCTTTAAATGGAAAGGAAACCGTTGGGAGTTCATCACGAAGTATGGCTGGATTTGTCGGTACCAAGAAGGCGCTTAAAGTTACTGGTAGAAGACAACTCTCTTCTCTTTTGGACATGGATTCTTCAGAGAGTAGCAGTGTTAATGAAGACTCGCCCAAGACTGAGCGTGCCCTTCCACGTGGAAAGACCAAAGAAACCGCGATTAGTGTTCATTCTGAAAATAGTGTCTCTGGAGAAGTTGTGACAGAGGCAGGAAGCTCAAGTACAGGAACTGGCAGAAGCATTTATCAGAGACCTGATTTGGTCACCCGAGATGCTCGTGTGGGTAACAATGGCCAAATTGCGAGAGCTAGTGTGAACAGGAATGGATTGAGAGACTTGAGTAGTAAACCTGTTTCTGATGTTGTTCCATCAAATTCCAATCCGACAAGAAAAAGTATCATATTTAGAAAGAAAGCCTCTGATGGAGAGAGCAGCTCTTCAAGTAGAGGGAAGAAGACAGAAGGATCAGTGATTGGGGGAAGGAATTCAAGTTCCCCTCAGGGTAATGGCATCACCATATCTGAATCTAGGAGGAACAGGAATTTACCAAGTGTTAGGGACAACAGTGTTGCTTCAAGTAGTGCTAGGAGATCAACTGGTTATTATGGTAGAACAGGACGTGCTGGAGCGGTTGCAACTCTACAAGTGTCTCGGCCTGCAACACGAGCTGATCTCAATCCTTCTAGATCTGCAGAAGTTTCACGTAGTCCATTAAATAGTTACAGTAGGCCAATCAGTAGTGACAGCAGGTTACGTAGCCTGATGATGCCTGGTAGCCCCTCAGAAGCCGGCCTCTCCCGCTCTTTGATTAACCGTGATGATTTCAGACGGTATAACATGAATGGAGTTGCAGAGGTAGTCATCATAACCTTTGTTGTGTGTGATGAGGTGTTCCAGCATCTTAGTATCATAAAGTAAATACTCAATGTTGCAGGTTTTGTTGGCGTTGGAGAGGATTGAACAAGCCGAAGAGCTTACATATGAGGTGATTATATCATCTTGGACCTTTGAAATGCAGAGGTTTTTTCTGAGTTGAGAGTTTTATATTGACACTTCTTCTGCTTCCTTTATTTCCCTTGCAGCAATTGGCTGTTTTAGAGACCAATCTGTTCTTAAGTGGTATGAGCAGCTTCCACGATCAGCATAGAGATATGAGGCTTGACATTGATAACATGTCCTATGAGGTTAGCCTTACCTATTGTGTATTTTGGTTTTGGTTCAGTCAAAAGGCACACTCAAGATTTAAGTTTTTTTTTGGATATGAAATCTAAACTTCTCAAAATTCATGCAGGAACTATTAGCATTGGAGGAGAAAATGGGTACAGTGAGCACTGCTCTAAGCGAGGAAGCGCTACTGAAAAGCCTTAAGTCAAGCATTTACCGCCCAACTGATGAATCCGGTGAAATTTGCCTGAATAAAGATGATGATGTCAAATGCAGCATTTGCCAGGTATTAACTCCCTCTTCTCTGAGTCTCTCTACTCTCAGGGGTCTTTTAGAAAAGCTCAAAAGACCGTTTTGTGTTACATATGCAGGAAGAGTATGTTGATGGAGATGAAGTAGGGACTCTGCCTTGCCAACATAAGTACCACGTGAGCTGCGCGCAGCAATGGCTCCGGATGAAGAATTGGTGTCCAATCTGTAAAACCTCAGCAGAATCTCAACCACAGCCATTTTCATGATGATGGGATTGCAGAGACATCACCAAAGTGTTTTTTGTCTCTCTACTCCCACAATCTTGCTCTCTTATATTTGTACATAAAAGGTCTTTCTTTCCTCTTCTTCTTTTTTACTTACACACAATTGGGAACAAATAGAAAATAAGATCAGGTGGACAAAGTTAAATTCCTATTTCACCTGTATAAAGTTTAAACATTTTAATTCAAATTACGAACCAAAATATTTGGTTTAGTTTCATAATTGCACTTTTCCATTTCTTCCAAAATTGGCTCTAGAGAAGTGTTTAAGGAAATAAATAATTAGATAACTTTGCTTTCTAACAAAACTAGCTACCAAAATATTCAATAAATTTGTCATAGGCCCAAAGGCCTTGTTTCGTGGATCTTAAACTTCTGAAAATATGAACTATGCATGAGGTGGGATACGTCATTCAGGTTCAAGACGAACGATACTACAATTGACTTATTGTGAAGGGAACTAGGCTAAAGGGAACCATCAGATATTTCAATGCTCTATGAGTCTATGACCATCAGACAATGAAGAACTAAACATTTCTAACCAGCTTTTGATGATGCGTCTGTCTCATGCATAATCATTAGTGCTCCCTTATTTCATCACATGTTCAACAAATTTAGTTCATATGATCTCGTTACCAGCTTTTGCATCAAAGCTAGCTACATGATGTTAAGTCCAACAAAACTCAACTTTTTCTAATTAGAACTAGTTCATGATAACGAAAGTAGTAACTAACTGTACAAATGTAGACTAGTTCATGGTTCGTTGCGATTTTGTTAAACAAAGAAATATCACATATTGACATATATAAGAGTATATAATATAACCAAAAATTATGAATCATGCACGCTCAATATTACTAATTAAGTATTACATAAAACTTAGACCCCGAGTAGTATTTACAAAAAATTTCGTATGTAGTTATTGATAGCAGTTTAAAAATGTATAAATAAAAGGGAAGTTAAAATGAATAATGTTTTAGTAATGACAAGTCCAATCGTCGTCAATCAGTACATGCAGTAATAAGGCAGAAGGAGATGTGATGTCTCCTAAACTAGTTTTTCAAAGTAGCCTATGTACTAGTCTCCCTAGCCCTATCTTCTCATGGACTACGATATGGCACGTCGACTATATTATATCAAGGGAGCTTCCACAAATCCATGTCTCTCACCAATAAATCTGCAACTGCCCGCGTACGAATACTCTTGTCATCGGCGCACACTCGTACACACATATATAAAAGGAGTTATTGTGTGTGTCGAGGATATCAAAGCTCAGGCCACGTGAGCCAATGCTCCTAGGGAGTGGGATGTGTTTCTCAAAGCAATGTCCCTTTATACACGTTTCGAACTATGATAGGTTCATCAAGAAGCTGACAATGCTTTGTTCACGTGATTCACTGTGGTCTATATTGCTTACGTTATGTGTATGTTTTTTTTTTTATTACAATTTGACAAAGGCTCGTCCAATCATGAGTTTGACGATGGGATTGCAAATGATATGGAAGTATAGAGTTTGGTTAAAACCGATACGGCCGGCATAATCATCTAGATGTTACGACTGTAGGGATATGTATGGACCTACTATATATGATATTTCTTTTTCAATGTTTTCTACAAAAATCTCTTTCAATACACAGACTCAAACATATACAAATTGACATATCGCAACATGAGAAGTGGGATACGTATATATTGCAATATTTTACATCACCACATCAGTAACCGCAATTACATTAGTATATATCATTTGTTTCTTAGATTCCAATGATAGGTTGGTTCACATTTCACACGCATAAAACATTCTGCTAGCTATAGGTGTTTACACTTGTGACTTTACATGTTTACGAATGCATGTGTTTGTATGTACTAGATTGGTAACACAATTAGATTCGAGAAGACTTATAATATATAACAAGTAAAATGAAAAAGTAAATGGACTTGTAAACTTATAAAGGTTACATAAAATGGCCACCAAAACCATTGTAAATCTAATGAAAGTGATTGAAGTACGTAACTAATTGGATTACACACTTCATCATTTTTTTTTCCAAATGATGTATCATTATAATTTGTTTGGGGCTGAATATTTTCTCCAGCAAAGTAATAATGGAAGAAACATTTAGCATTCAGTTTCTTTCACGAATGAATTATCATTTCGAACCAAGAAGGTCAAAAAGTGTAAAGAAAGCCCTAATTGGTAGATGTATAGCCTGAGAGTGAGAGACTGACACAACCAATTTGCCTGCAAAAGTTTCTACGTAATGTCCCTTTCGACACTCTAGCACGAGAGCCAAATACATCTTAACAAAAGATAACAAGAGTTACATATAATTTCAAACTAAATATAACAAATATTTATCAATTTTTTAAATAAGTTATAATCTTACGTCTGAATGTTCTTAATCTATGATGTATTTTAAAATCGATTAGTTTATTAATTTAAAGTTATTTAAAAGTGTAATTCATCAACTTGTTTACATATATCAATTAAAATTAAAAGATCACAAGAAAAATGTTAGCATACATGATTAGAAATTGTTAGAAATCTCACTATATTTATATGAAAGTGTCCTACTGGAGATATATATATATATATATATATATATATATATATATATATATATATATATTTTTGTATGTATAAAAGTGACACTATATTTGGTGTTTAATTAGTAGTATCCCATATTCCCATTGTAGGAGATAAGTTAATTAAGAACTCATAAGTACAAACACCGACAAAACTAAAGAACAGCAGCCACTGATCCAATACTTTTCATTTCATAAGAATGATGGAATCAAAACACATATTAACACACATTAACCAAAATAACTTCCTTGGGGTCCCCAGAATATTCATATGTATTGTTTGAGATAGCTAAAATCAACTTCCTTTATAATAATTTGTTTGCATGGCTACTTGCTCTGAGTTTGAGATACGTACACTCACGACATATGTAAGTGTGTATATATATCACATACGTCACCAGTTCTTTAGTAAAAGTGTAAAACTAGATGAATAGAAAAAGATTCATCACTAAATTAATTAGGCTTTTAGATTAGAATATAAAAGCATTTGAGATCCACTGAGCCAAAGAGAATAATACTTCTCAATTACAACAAGTCATCATGGAATCGAAACATGCTAAGGAAGACAACAATTAATGTTGAGACTGAGTTATCCCTAATCCATGTCCCGTCTTAATTTCTCAACTTGCATCAAACCAAACTTACGTCACACAACTTTCAACGTCCACAACACATAAAACATGCACATGCAACTAAAAACAAAACCCAACAAACTCTCTAAATCATAAACCAAACCAAACAACACACACACACACAAAAACACAAAAGAAACTGAAGATTTAATGGGAATCTCGGACGTGGAAGTAATTAGGGTTCTTGACGACGATATCGTACATGTAAACGGAGTTGAACTTGGTGAAATCTCTAGGAAGAGAGATGAGATCAATGGACGACCGTTTGTGGAATTGGAGAAGATCTGTATCGCCAAAGTACCTCTCCCATCCAAGACTCTGGAGGATCTGCTCGAGCGTCGAGTAAGATGAGACCACTTCTCCGGTCGGTAAATAGACCATAACTTTCCTTCGGCTCTGTGTGTCGGATCCTGACTGGTTAGGGTTCTCCACAAGTCTTATAACTCCGTTCTTGAACACCCACACGCCTGACATGACTCTTCTTCTTCGTCTCCTTAGTTTTTGTTTTTGTTTTCTTGAGAGAAAGAAAGAACATGGAAATGGCTTTGGTGTTTTAATTTCTTTGAGAAGAAAGAGTTGTGTGTGGAACTGTTTTATATAGCCGGCCCGTATGTAAGATGATGGCCTACCACATCAAAGACAAAAAGTATCCTTTTGACGTGACATATAGAATTTGTTTTCAAATTATAGCAATCAATGATTTTTTTTGGGTCCATTGATGAGATAACTAAAAGATGAACTAATAAAAATTGGTGAAATAACGTGAACATACTGTAGTATTAAATTAGACGAAACGGGTACACTAAACATGTGAATGAAAACCAATTTTGACCTTTTTATCAGAATATGATATAGAAGACGATACAGTCAAGTTTTTAATAGAATTTTCAATATAATCAATTAGTATAATTTGTTCTATTATTGAAATTTTATTATTTGAAAAATAATAAATTATTGTAGTTTTTAATATAATTTACAATTTCCTTCTGTAGATAGGCAATTCCCTAATAACATCCCATAAATATGTTTAAACAGGAGTAGCACATGAAAGTAAGCAATATTTACTATAGGATCTCTTTTGGAATGGAATTCTCCAAAACAAATCCCGCATTACATATTGAACCCAAAAGGAAAGTTTTCGGGATCGACTGGATAGCCGAAAATTATTTGTTACCACAAGAAATGATACGATTTACAATTCTTAATTCCTACTCAATCTTCTGTTTTTAATTCTTTTTTTCCTCTTTGTCACAGTTCAAGCCATCTCCACCTTCTTTTTCATTTTCCAAAACAAACAACAATTAAGTTTCAGTGAAAATGGTTTTAACCTTTCAAAATATTACTTTTCTTTATTTTTGCTCATATTTTTCTTATGTTTTGCTCATATTTTTCTTATTATATCTTAATTTAATATTTTTCTTATATACCTTATTTTTATATCCCAAATTATCGTAGTTATAACATATTGATACAAAAATATAACATATATTTCAAGAACCGAAAGAAATTTAAATAAATTTTTGTTCTTGTGGTAAGTGAAGTGTCCAGAATATATGTTTATAAGCTGCTATTTGAAACTGCACATACTGATAGTCTGATATCATTGTGTGTTGTGTTGATCGTACTTGATCTTGTATAAAACAACTAAGCTCCTTTTGGTCTTATGTTTCATGAAAAAGAACGTTTGTTATTTTCCTAAGTTAGTTCATCAATGTGTATTAAAAAAAACTGATTTAATTTTGTCAAACTATAAAGAAATTTAGATTATTTTCACATATATTATGGTTTAGTTTTTTCGAAACCAACACAACATAACCGAGAAATGGATTAGTAATTTTAAATAAGAACGTATTAGTTTATGAAAAACATTGATTAAACTGTTATGGAGATGAATATATACATAACATTAGAATTTATGTGTGATGAAATAGAAGAAGAAGTCTTCATGTATATACTGTGTTTTTTTTTTTAATATAATGTTAAATTAGATTCAAGAAAAAACGTTTTTGCAACTAGTGCAACATGATTTTGAGGTGTTTAAACTTAGATTGTGGTTTGACGAAGTTTTTCTATCTCGCTCGTCTGTAAGAACTTAGGTATGATATAGGGTTAATTTTACTTTCATTTGTTTTATTTTTGGAATTCCATCTAACATTCTTAATCTATTTTCCTAAACCAAATACTAGTATTTTATATGTCTGGGAAAAGTTTGGTTTCGATTAAATCTGATTTTGGTTTCTAGGAATCTTGTAAGATTTTAAGCACTAATGATAGGAATCTTTAGATCTTATGGTACGTAGTTTTATGAGACAATACTATATAACACCATTGTAACATTTTAAGCTATCAGGCAAACATATAATAAAACATTATTTCCTTCACTGAGAATTTTCAAAAATTTATTTTTGTTAAAAACGTTTGATAATTCTTTGGCCTGATCCATGTCTATGCATGATAGTTTAAACATTTGTTTCACGACATCGAAAATTCGAACGTATCATCTCATGATCAGTTTCTTATCTTAACCAAGTAAACTATATTTATCTAGATATTACTATCGAACAATTCATCGTTTTATAATATTATTCCATAATGTCATCTCATTATGCGTACAATCTTTTTTTTTATATATAAAGAAATCTTAAAATCGACGGTTAGGTTACTTTAGTCTTTAGTATCCTTTACGATTCTAGCAATTATAAGCACACTAACATTAATGTCATCCTTCACTCTCACTTTTTAAATGACAAATCAATATAATTATATGACCCTAATGGTGGACGAATCACACATGTAAGAGAATCATGCATACACTAATGGTAGGCGAATCTCTATCTCTTAATTTGATTCTTAAATATAATAGTTAAAGATTCGACATTACAACATTTACTTCCCTAACATAGAAATATGATTCTACCATAGCCAATAGATAATTGTATTAGTGCACGTACACAATAATAAACCTTGTGCGTCATCAGTCGAATACATCTTTTTAAGTTACACTAGATTATTTTTCTCTTCAACGCGTCGAATTTTAATAAACATTTGTCTATAAATTTATCATATTACAGTTGTTTGTGGATTAATTAAAAAATAGTCACAAGATTTAGTGGAATAAGTATTAAAAATATAGAGAGATTCGGGAACATTTACAAATATATATGTATATCTTTTCTGTAAATTATATAATTGTTAAACCTTTTGGATTATATGAAGCAGTAAAAGCTTTGTAATTGTCTAGGTTCATGCGGTATATATAGTGTCAGTTAGATTTGGGACAAAACATAAGTTCATCTTCTTTTGAGAGTTGAGAACATTTTTGATGTATTATTTATTTTCCTACTTTAAAATCGAGTAATTCTAAAACAGAGTAAAATTAATTTTCAATATATTTTACTTCATAAAATAATAGAGAAAAAAATTTATTCTTAATATAGATTAATCCTATCATTAACTCTATTTTAGAATGAGATATAAATTGGATAAAAAATAATTACAGAAAAGAATAACAAAACTTGCGTTACAGGGCCAACAAATTTAAAACGAGCCGGGCCAGATTTTGCAGCTCAAGGCCCGTTTTAAAACACCCTTAATCTAGCCCAAAAATATCTCGAGCTTCCACAAGTCTCTCAGTGACAAAGAACAGCTCGAGAGTCGCTTTATTAGTAGGAAAACTTTGTTTTATGCGACTATTTTAAAAATCTGTTATCCTGGTTTATATCCTACTTACCAGTTTATTAAGTTCCTTAATCTATGATTCAGCTTTATTAGAGTAATTTATGTAAGCATCGTTCAGACATAATATAATATAAGAGGGTGTTATTAGTTGTTTAAATTAAATTCAACTCCATTAGATTTTTAAAATTCATAAGACTTTCAAAATCTGGGTTCATTGATACTGATTTATTATTCATTCTTTAAATCAGTGGAAGTGTATTTACACTGACACATGATATCTTTTGGTTTTGAACAATAGAATTGAATTCTATAACAAATGATTTTACAATTTTCAATGAAATTATACCAAACTTTTACCATCACGTATTTTTTTCCCATTTCAAATTTCTGTATTGAAGTCTTAACATATCTTTTAAAGATGAAATTTTTTTTTTTTTTTTTGTTAAAGTGATCAAATGAATCATACAACAACTGTTAAAACAATATACACATTAACTAGGGATAAAAAAAAAGACTGGGAAAAAAATGATAAAGAGAGATACATATGTGTTGGGTCATGGGTGAATGAGTTTGCAAATATTGATAACGTACGTGTATTACGTTAAATGAAACTTTTATTAATTTATTAGATTGTCAAATCTCATGTTAGAAGGTTGGTTTTGGGATTGACATAATTTACAGATGAAATCAGTTTCAGATTCACTCAAAGCTTTTCAAATGAAATCATTTGTGAAAATCCACCAAACTTGAATAACATAAGACTTTAGTTAATAATTGTAAGTATAAGAATCAATAACACTAGATTTTAAACTCTTTTAATGAAGATTTTGCAAATATAAGAACCAATAACACTAGATTTTAAACTCTTTTAATGAAAATTTTGCAAATATAAGAACCAATAACACTTGATTTGAGTAAAGTATTTAAAATCATTGATTAAATAACATTAGACTTGGGTTAGATTTAGACTCTATTAAAATCCATTATCCAATAACACCCACTAAGAAACAAATGTGAAGACCAAAACAGACAGAACTAAAATTAATTCAGATCCAGACAAAAGGCTAGACATCAGCCACGTCAGCACTTCCAAACCCAACGCCACGTGTCATCTTCTCAACTCGTCAAAACACGAACACGAAAAACTAGATGACGTTAACAAAAACAATATCCGTAAATGGCGGCTTTCTCGCTCTCGTTCTCATCTCATCTCTCAAACCCACTTCGCAGATTCACTCTCCACAACCTTCACCCCATTTCTTCGTCTTCTCTGTTCCTCTGCTCCGCCGCAAAAATGAACGATCATATCCACCGTGTTCCATCCCTCAACGAGGATGAGATTGACTCTGTGGCCATAAAAACGTTTGAGAGATACGCATTGCCTTCTTCTTCTTCTTTGATGAAGAGAAATGGCAAAGGAGTCTCAATTATCTGGTTTAGAAACGATCTTAGAGTTCTTGACAATGACGCATTGTACAAAGCTTGGTCTTCCTCTGAGACCCTTTTGCCTGTTTACTGTCTTGATCCTCGTCTCTTTCACACTACTCATTTCTTTGATTTCCCTAAGACTGGAGGTAATGTTTCTGATTGTAAAAATCAATCCTTTTTTTTGTGATCTTGATCACTCAAATTTTGTGTTGTTTTTTGGCAATGTTCTCAGCTTTAAGAGGTGGGTTTCTTATGGAATGTTTGGTTGATTTGAGAAAGAATCTTATGAAAAGAGGGTTGAATCTTCTTATTCGGAGTGGTAAACCTGAAGATATTGTTCCTTCTCTTGCTAAAGATTTTGGAGCTCATACAGTTAAGTTCTTTTTATTACTTGTGTTGAAGAAGCTTTTCTGAGGGAACATGAAGATGTGATTTTGTTTAGGTTCTGTTTTTCAGGTATTTGCTCATAAAGAAACGTGTAGTGAGGAGGTAGATGTTGAAAGACTTGTGAATCAAGGGTTGAAAGGGGTTGGGAATGGTACTACTAAGCTTGAGCTTGTTTGGGGAAGTACTATGTATCACAAAGATGACCTTCCATTTGATGTTTTGGATTTGCCTGATGTCTATACTCAGTTCCGTAAGGTATGTTTCTTGTTTCGGTTGATGTGTTTCTTTGATACAATAGGAGTGAGTGTTGGAACATTCTGAATGGTTTAGGATATTTTGTACCATATTTTGCAATACAGTATAGTGAATTGCACACAAATTCTCACATTTTGAGGTGTTAATTGCTGATGAAGAGGCATTTACTTGACTCATTAGTAATTATAAGATATTTTGGTAGCTTTTGGGTTACAGCAAAGAAACTTAGTTTGAATATAAGGAATACTTATCAAAACATAAATAAAGAAGTGGATATTTAGTTTTTGTTTGATATCAATGTTTGTTTCTGGTCACTTGCAGTCGGTGGAAGCCAAGTGTAGTATCAGAAGCTCCACTCGCGTTCCACTTTCTCTAGGGCCAACACCTTCTGTTGATAACTGGGGAGATGTTCCAAGTCTTGAGCAACTTGGAATTGAGCCACAAGAGGTGAGTATCTCTGAGAAACTCTTTAGATGAGACAAGAGAGAGAATAGTAAGTAGAATCATTCTTTATTAGTCACGTCTATGTATGCATGTTGATAGGTAACCAGAGGAATGCGATTCGTGGGTGGTGAAAGTGCAGGACTAAGCAGAGTATTTGAGTACTTTTGGAAGAAGGTAAGAGGATGATGAGCTCTTCCTGCTTCTACTATTTCGTGTCTTGTATATGTGCATGATTTTTTTGTATGTCATTTTTTCATTTAGGATTTATTGAAAGTATACAAAGAGACGAGGAACGGAATGTTAGGACCTGATTATTCGACAAAATTTTCTCCATGGCTTGCCTTTGGATGTATCTCTCCTCGTATTATATATGAAGAGGTGAAAGATCTTTCAAAGCATTATACAGTGTCCCAAAACATATAGCAGTTTTTTCACTTATGTGACAGTTGAAAATTTACAGGTTCAAAGATATGAAAAGGAAAGAGTAGCAAATAATTCAACATACTGGTATGTCTTTAGTTGTGAGTTTGGAATCTCTGTTGCATTTTCCTTGACTCTTAGTAGTTGGAATAAATTTCTCAGTTGATGTCATAAATGTTTCCAGGGTGCTGTTTGAATTAATATGGAGGGACTACTTCAGGTTTCTTTCAATCAAGTGTGGGAACTCCCTCTTTCATCTAGGTAACTATGCTCTCGAACTAAAGGGTAACACCATGTGATTAGAGTGAAGTTTCATATAGCACATTTTCTTCGTAGGTGGCCCGAGAAATGTGCAGGGGAAATGGAGCCAAGATAAGAGACTATTTGAGTCTTGGAGAGATGGCAAGACCGGGTAAATATCTCATATCATGAACTATTTTTGGAAGCATGCATTACTTAAAAAAACTGATGCTTGTGGCTCCAAAAATTTAAACCTATAGTGGCTGCTCATGAATGGCATTAGGTATCCTCTTATAGATGCAAACATGAAGGAGTTATCCACTACAGGTTTCATGTCAAATCGAGGCCGACAGATTGTTTGTTCGTTTCTTGTCCGGGACATGGGATTGGATTGGCGCATGGGTGCAGAATGGTTTGAGACATGTCTATTGGACTATGATCCATGTTCTAACTACGGAAACTGGACCTATGGAGCAGGTACTACTTATGCTACAATATCTGACTTGTATAATTTCTTATTCAACATCAAGAACGAGATTGAAATGGAGCTTATTTGGTTTTTGGTCATTGAAGGAGTTGGAAATGATCCCCGAGAAGACCGGTACTTCAGCATTCCGAAGCAAGTGAGTAACTTTCTTAACACTAGCCATTAGAAACTGTAATGGAGAAGAGACTGACAAAATGTGTTTTGTTTTTTTTTGTTTCTTTAGGCACAGAATTATGATCCAGAAGGAGAATACGTTGCCTTTTGGCTTCAGCAACTGCGTCGGCTACCAAAAGAGAAGAGACATTGGCCAGGGAGATTGATGTATATAGACACAGTTGTGCCATTGAAGCATGGTAATGGTCCAATGGCTGGAGGATCAAAGTCTGGTGGTGGCTTCAGAGGAAGTCATAGTGGGAGACGTTCTAGACACAATGGTCCTTAGAAGAAACAACTATTCTTTACACGAATTTGTATCTTAATTCTTATTTATATGATTCTTGTGATGAATCAGTGATTTTCTCAGTCCAAACTAAAATTTTTTATACTCTAAACATAAACATATACAAACATAATATTTGTATATGTTACTTGAGCAAATAACCAAAGACTTGGGTTCTTGGTTTTGCAGAAAGAGGTCAGTCATAGATCTTAATGGGCTGGAGTGAAGCCCATTAGTAATAAGTAATGGGTTTGGGTCCATTTAGAACATAGGAACCCTAATTGTTCTTAGGTAAGATCGTCTTCCTCTCTCTGCTTCTCTCGGAAGGTTTTAGTGGCGAAGAACAAAGAGCTCGAGATTTCGAATACAAGTGCAGATTGAATCAGGTACTCAATTTATAACTAAGGCGACTTATTGTGTTGGTAGAGTGTCTAGCGTATCTATGATCCATGTTTCTGGTTTCTCTTAAGAATGCTAGCTCTGGATCATCTCATTGAACAGAGACTTTAGGAAATTAGGGTTTAGGGTTCAAGCATGTTACTGGGTTTATGCAGATTCGGTCTCAGTTTATTGAAAGTTCGTATTTTTGCCATGTTTAAGCTAGTTCAGATCTGGGATGAACAAAAACTTGGATTTGTTGTTATTCACAAGACTATGTTTTGGTTATGTCACTCACTGTTGTTATTATCTTTTGTGTGGTTAAGTGATAATGGACAGTGAGACGAAACAAACCACCTTCAGCAAATCTACAGGGCTTCCTCGGAAGCGATTCTACAGAGCAAGAGCTCATAGTAACCCGCTTAGCGATTCTCACTTCCCGATCCCGACTTCTCCAGCTCATGTCGACTTTTCACTTCACTTCCCCAAATTCGTGGAAGCTGAGAACAAAATCTCCAAGAAGGTTGAGTTTGCTGATATTGGATGTGGGTTTGGTGGCCTGCTGATTTCCCTTGCGACGCTCTTCCCTGATACGCTAATGATCGGTATGGAGTTGAGAGACAAAGTAACAGAATATGTTAAGGAACGGATCTTAGCCTTAAGGAGAACAAGCTCGGATGGACAGTATGAGAACATCTCGGTTGTTAGGACAAATTCGATGAAGTACATTCCGAATTATTTTGAGAAAGGACAGCTTTCGAAGATGTTTTTCTTGTTTCCTGATCCACATTTCAAGGAGAAGAATCACAGGAGGAGAGTGATTAGCACTCATTTGCTAGATGAGTATGCTTATGTTCTTAGAGCTGGTGGGATTATTTACACAATCACTGATGTGGAAGAGCTTGGAGAGTGGATGAAGGCTTGCCTGGAGAAACATCCGATGTTTGAATCTCTTACACAAGAAGAGCTTGATTCGGATCCTGTCGTCGAGCTTCTGTGCAGTGCTACTGAGGAAGGACAGAAAGTTGCCAGAAATGGAGGACAGACTTTCAGAGCAGTTTTTAGACGCATTGCATATGTTTCTTGAATTCAGTCTTTCTCTTGGGTGTAATTTTATTGTTGTAGCAAGGGCTTCTTTCTTAATTTTAAAATTTTGGGATAGTGTTTACCGAAATTAAGAAGTTATTGTGCAATGAGAGGACATAAAGGAGATTTGTGTTAGTGTCTTGTTGTACATGAACTAATCTTATTCACTAACTTTCAAATGATGCAGCAACTGAGTATCAAAGTACTACCAATTTGAAGTTGTAATGCAATAAACATAATCGTAGCTGACCCGAGAGTCATGGTTGCAAGTGACATATTCACATTTTGATTGCAAATTGTAATGAGGGATGTTTCAAACAGTGAAAGTATATTGGGAGATTTTTGAATGTGTGCACCGGACGCCCAATTCATCCATCAAAACCTGCATGTAACTACAACTTTGAGAGATGCGAAGAAAGCATATCAATGTTTCCTAAGAAATAAATGGAAAAGAGAAATACCATTTGAGAATTCCTCGCATGAAACAAAGCGACTTCTTGCGACTCCACCAAGCTTGATATCTGGAACCAGGTTCTGTTGTTCCTCATGTCAGATGTTTTCAAAAGAAACTGAACTTAGCTCAGATGTCCGTATAACAACTACCGGAGAGACAACTTAGCATTTCCAGAAGGATAAACTTCTCTCTTTCTTGATTAAACCAACGCATTACTGCTCTTCCTCGTCATTAACCACTTTTTGTAAACTATATTTGCCTCTTCTGGTCGATGTAATCTGGTATATTTCTTTACTAGTATTAAAAATGGAACATGATCCATTGCTATACCAGTTTCTTGCATTCTCGACAAAAGGTTTTCGGCCTCCTTTAATCGACCCTTCCAACAGAGCCCTCTAACCAGCTCAGTATAAGTAATGATATCAGGTTGACATCCCCTTTTTAGCATTTCATCATACAACTGAAATGCCAACCGCAAGCGACCCCATGTACAAGCAGCACCTACTAGCAGATTATAGGTGGTAGTATCTGGGTGGACTTTGGTAGATCGCATTTGATTTTTGAACTGCCATGCATCAATGAACCTTTTCCCTTTCACATACCCATGAATCAAAGCGTTGTTTGTGTAAATATTTGGTTCAATACCGTAAGAAAGCATTAGATTTAGGACAGATAAAGCACTGCTAGTATCCCCACATCTTCCATAACCATCAATAACCACATTCCATAGCAGAGCCTCTGGAAGCAGAGAACTAGTTAGCATGCTTAGAAAGAAATTGTTTGCCCTTTCCACATCTCCCTTTATACATAGACCTTGAATGATAACTTTGTATGAGATCTGATCAGGAGCAACACCAACATTTAGCATGGTAGCATGGAGATCACATGCCTCATCAAACTTCCCCTCTTTGCACAAGGCGCTTATGAGAGTGTTGTAAGTGAAAAGATCAGGATTTTCTCCTCTCTTTACCATGTCACACATGAACCCATAAGCAGCTACCATGTTTCCACTCAAACATAACCCACGAATAATGACATTGTACACAACTGAATCAGCAGGGACTTTTTTATGTGACATCTCCTTCCACACCTCAAGGGCTTGAACCAGATTTCCATTCCTAAAACAACTATCCATCAGAATGGTACAGGCGACTATATCCAAGGGTGCGTTCGCCTGGCTACGATCTAAGATCTCTTCAAGAAGTTTTGTGTTGTTGTTTCCTATAACACCTTTCTGGCAAAGTGCATGCACAATTATGTTGCAAGTCACTCTATTTGGCTTAATACCATATTTATTCATAGTACTGAAGAGATACAGAGCTTTATCTACATTGTTAACACTGCAAAGACCCTTGATTAAGGTGTTATAAGAGACACAGTTTGGAGAAGGACCCATATCTCTCATCTCTCTAACAAGCCCGTCTGCCTTCTCGATATGACCTAATTTACACAACCCATTTATAAGATGATTGTGCGTGAACAAACCTGGAATAAATCCACTCAGTATCATTTTTCTCCGTAGCCAGAGAGCAGCATCCAACTTCCCTTGTAAACAGAGATCCCTCATTATAGACGAGTGAATAGATAAAGAATCATCATAATCAAAGTTCTTTGTCCGACATACACTCTCCCTACAACAGAAGCAAGGCTCTATCAGAAACAGTTCACATATATAAACTGCTAGAGATACAAAACCACAAGTTACTTGTGAAAATACAAACCTCAAAGAAGCTAGACGATCCAAACTGCTTTTCAAAATTGAATCCAATACATTAAAAATAGCTTCCGGGTCTCCTTTCTGGTCATAATCTTTTCTATCAGAAAACCAGTTCTCGGCGCAAGAGTGAGTATGATTGACAGGAGTGGATTGAGGACGTTCAATACAGGAAAGACGCATTTCAAAGTCCCTGCACATCCGTAAACAAGAGACTCAGCAAACAGATTCATTTAAGATGGTCCTGGAAACAAATAAAACGAATCAAATCAGACCTACCTCAAGTTGGTGAAAATAGGAGCAAAGATCCTAGCAACATTGTCACTAACAAAATCAAGGCTTTGGTTGAGTAAGCGAAGTACAGTGACCTGGGAAGATGAAACTTCCCCACAAGAAATGAAAAGCTGCAATGGATTTTAAAACACAAAAAGAAGTGAGCTAGAGCATAAAAATCAACACTTTCGATATTAATCAACCAGAGTACCAAACAAAGCTGCAAACTTACAGCCATGAATTAATCAGATAAGCGATGCAACAACATCAAAAACGGGAAACGAAGCTCTCCGGTGGAATTAGAGTAGATACATTCGTCTATACTCTTAATAACATGCCTTGATTTGGTGAACAGAGACGAGTCATACGAAAAATGGCTTATGATCTTAAGCTGAAACAAAGATAATGGTCTTAGAGATATCACAACGTAAGCCTGAGAAAACGAAATTGGCGATTGTGAAGATTGAATCATCAGAATTTGCATACCTGATCCAGATTGGCGATTACGAAAAATGGCATCAGATTCTGTGGTAAGCTCTTGGTTCTGGGCACGTTTGACGAAGATTTCGAAAATTAGGGTTCTTGCTTTTAATGGGCCGTAGCCCATAACAATCTTAACACGGCCTTTAGTTTCATCGTTCTTTTTTTTTATTAATTTAACAACCCAAAAATTGGATGATCAGAAGATAATGTTACAACTTCGGAATCGTTATAAAACTTGAAGTTTAAAAAAAAAACAAAAAAAAAAACTATTATATCGGCTGGTGAGTGTTAAATCTTTTAGGTTGGCTCTATTGATTAGCAACAATTCACATTTTCTAAAATCAAACTTTTATTTATTTATCGAATAATCAAAGAGGTTCTGAGCCGAAACTCATACATCCATTAATATCTGAGATCAAAGCATATTATATAGTCTCGTTCCAAACTTTTAACTTGATATAAAACACCAAAATCTTGAGTTAACCATGAGGAATAATGCTTTAGCCTATATAAACTTCTAAGTGTTAGGCTAGGCAACGTCAAATACATGAAGCAAGTAGTAAAAATTCTAATATTCCAAAAGAAAAACAAGAATAGACTCAGAACTGCCCATTTGAAGTCGAGAATTTAAAGTTTACAAACTTATAACTCACAAAATATGAAATCAACTCATAATAAACCCGAGATGTTGAAATCTAACCAAGAGTCCAAGAACATCTATTATCTATGAGTAAAAGGTTATGTTAGACGATAATGATAATATATATATTTGTACATTATACATTATATGACCGACCTAACATTATTGTGTTGTATATTCTTACAGATATATTTACTCATGGGGTGGTCAGTGTGTAATGTCAACTTGCAAAAACAAAAGGTAACGCAAGATGGGGGAATCATCAATCACAGGCTCACAACTTTTCTTATGCTATTAAAGTATAATTGCTTATACATATGTACATATAGACTTACACTACACATGTTCATGTACATATCGTTCACAGGCTCGAATCTTTTTATTAGTGGCCTCCTTATCCATTTTGGGTATGACCGCCACATTCTCGTTCTCATATCTTTCCTCAATTTGTCACTTTCCTAATCCAAATCTTTGGATTATATAATGACCACTATCATCATCATGAATATTAAAATGATATATACTAGTATATTATATTCTTACTTAATGGAGACCATGATTTTTTCCGACAAATACAGCAGTACTAAGATAATATTTGAGTGCCAATTGCATCTCTTTGTACATTCCTAGCTAAGTCTCTCGATCAACTTGAATCTCAAGTGTCAAAATTTGGTGTGGAAACTCAGTTCACACGCAAACAAAAAGCTGTCGACCGAAATGAATGAAGAGTGTGGTATCTTACGTACTATATGGATGAGTCAGTATAAGTGAACCCATAGTAGACGAAAGCACACTACTACGTACATGTACATATCAATATGTGAAATGCATATTTCCTGCTCTTCTCTTTTATTAACTTTTATAACAAGTTTTGTAACTTCTAGCTAGAGTTAATACTTTCAGGTTAAGAAATTACCATATTAGTTTTAGAAGTTAATTTCTAGGTTAGTACTTCAATTCAAGATGTACTAGGAGTGGAAAAAAAAAATAGGATCTTACTTATTATAGGAGTAGGAAAAAATATCTTGCTAGCTTGGTTTCTTTGATGTACAAGATGAATTAAATTTTCTATTTAGAAGTAAATTAATTATGTAGATTTTTTTAATTAGTTAGATCATATATATATGTATAGTTCGATATATCTTCAGTATATGTGGAATTGTTTTTTTTTTTTCATTTTGTTGACATCATATTTTTTTCTCTTGTTAACTATGATTTTTATTTTCATTTTGATATTGGTTCCAATGTAAGTACCTAACATAAATAAAATTGTGGAGCCAAAAGTGGCCAAGGCAATCTTAACTTTAAATTCCTTAATTAGCTTACGAACTAAAATCTAAAGTGTGAATGAAATAAATAGATGTTACTTTGTGACCATACCATTCATAATTCATTTCATGCATAAAAACAATAAAAACTGAGTGGCTTTGCTTTCCCACAACGTTTTGTTCTTGTCCTATCCGGTTTTATCACATTCTCCGCAGATTGTATAAAGAAACAAACAAAAAAAAAGATAAGAGGATACGATATAGCTAGGAACATGATGATAACGCACGTAACCAAAAAGCTGAGACATATTAAAAGAGGAAAGTGATGATGATGATATATAGTGTCATTGTTAAAATGCACAAAGATTTGGATTTATGATTGCCTGACCAAAAATCTCTTTATTACATCTCTACTTTTGTCGGCTCACAGTTCCTTAGATTCCCAAAACCGACAACGCACATTTCAACATATTCCACAAATTTCGGCTTCTTTTTTTCTCTTTCATACATTTCCTTGATTGTTACGTAAAAAATTACATTTGAGATAATCACCAAGAAAACACAACTTGCGAGTGCTTGATACTTGATAGGTAGATCATTCTAAAAACGACATTGCAGTTTTGAAACTACATTTTTTTTGTGTATGTTTCATCCGCTCCGGTAAGTGTGTAGTAACCCGTGGGAAGTTATGTTTATATTAGACCGTCAATGCAATTATGCAAGCCGGCTCGTTCCCTTAGAGGTTAGAATCATCCTTTGTAATAGTTCTAATATCAGTATAATATACTTCACCATGATGCAGTGCATGTATACATAATGTTAACCATTTAATCAAAAAATATGTATACACTATCGTACCGTCGTCGATGGAGTTCTGATCAATACGAGTTCTCTTGTTGATACCTTTTGACATCGTCGATTTGAAAGAATGAAAAAGTAGCATATCCCAAGGAGAGTTTACATGAGAAGAAGAGAGTAAAATGTAGCCGAAGGACAACTTGCCAGAAATATGTTCATCACCATGTATGCATGCATGATAATTAGCAACGTTCCGGCAAGTCATCCTTGGCTGCATTATACTCTACTCCACTTCATGCAATTCTACTCCGTTGGGCTCACATGTCCATCAAGCTTACAAGTACATCAATATGAGTGTGTGTGGTGGGTTTAGGGAGTGAAAGAGAGGGAGTATTTATAAGAGAGAGAGAGACATATAACTATACAACGTCTCCGTTCCAATATTATATACATTTTCATATTTGGTGATATAATATATTCGATAATCAGCTGGAGATTCCTATATCAAGTGGCTCTAGTGCTCAACATAAAGGCAATTATCAATTATGTTATAATGTCAAAAGACTCGGCCTTTCTCACGGCACGGCCTTTCCATCATCCACTCATAAAATCTTGTACACTTCTCTAAATCTTTACTTCAATTGATTCTCTCAGTCGAACATATACGATCGGTATATATTAAGCATTAGTTCGGAGAAGTCATCATATTTTAGAGAAAATACCAACTTAAATGCCTTGTTCAATATAACATCAATGATAACCTATATTTTGTAAGTCTTTCTTTAATACAAATTACATATAATGGTTGGTACATCCGTGCATAAGTGTATTTGATAATCTCAAATGTGAAATTTGTAAACATATTTATATCAAAACATAAATAATTATTCGATATAATTAATGTTAATGTTCCCGAAAGGAACCGCATGGAAAGGGATCGAAGAATATAGTATAAGGTGGTGCGCGCATTGGTCCACTACTTTGAACCAAATATATGTTTTCACTTGTTTAGAAATATATTGATGTAAGTCAAAGAATTATTTGCATTAGTGGTGATTGGCCTCGATGCTAAATAAGAATCAAGAAAAAACAACGAAAAGGAGAATATTAACAAAAAGAAACATTAATAGATATGTGCGATACACACTTTTTGATTTTACATAGATTTGTGTAAACAGTAACAAGGCTTAAGAGTGTCACAAGCATGAGTCTGTCTAGTGACCTTACTTATTGCTCAAAGAATATTAAGTAGTGGATTCGATTTGGTTAACTAGTCCACGATGTATAATCATAAATAATGCAATAGTTCTAGTTAGATCTCAAAATTAGTTTCAAGTTTATTTAATAAGATTCGATCATACCTAAATATAAACATGTCTAGCTAGGTAACAATAAAGTACTAATTAGAACTCCTTTTGCCCTTCTATTGATCGATATCACAGACGACATAAATGGATCATACTGATATAACTTAATTTTTAAGCAAATGAAGAAAACGAGAATGAAAGCTAATTAAAAAGGTGTGGCGGCCGCCAACAATTGCACCGTCCCTTATCTCCTCGCATATATGTTGGTCGGTACGGTACATGTAAGTATCTAGGCCTCAAAAGCTAAGATGATGTTTTTGAATCAACCTTTTTCATCATTTGTAGGTGAAATGATTTGTTGTTTTGATTTATAATTTTTTTTTCATTAGTAGCATTTGTTATCTTAATGGCATGCATCTCCCTGATCAATACATTCTAGAAATGTTATTTACTTACTATAAGCTAATTGATAAGCTTTTCTTCTAATGTGAAAAACAATATAGCGAAGTTAGTTACGGTTACCACATATTTCTAAGATCATTTTGAGCTTCGACTCGAAATTCCTAAATTAGTATATATGAGTCTATTGTTTGTTTAGTGTTTTTGGTAAATATGTATATATTTTCAATTTAGTTATACAAATAAATGTTGTGGATGAAGTGGACTAAACCGTTATAAGATTAAACCACTTCATGATTGTTAGGAAAGAAGAATCCATCATGGACCGAACATATATTTATGTAAAAGCAGTCTGCTTCACCACTGTAAAATTAAAATTATGAATAATAAATAAAAATAATTAATTCACTAACGAATTTATTCACCTTAACCGAAGCAACAATTTTTTTATTTTTTTTTGAAATTTATGAAAATCTGCTAGCGATAATTTTGTGCCAATTTATAAGTCATGTGAAATGCTCTAAGTCGGAAGTTGTGTGTTATTAAAAATAATCACAAACATTGTCTTTGTGATGCTCATGCCTACAAAAACTTAGGTTATAAAAAGACTAAGTAATTCAAAGTCACCACCTACGTGCCATCTACGAAATCGGCCAAACAATCCCTTTGTTGAAAGGCAAG